CTATTTAATGATTCATTCTAGTCAACGAAGGAGTAATTTTGCAGAATAGCAGAAAAAATTCCCAACAAACTTTTTTTTTTTTTGTTTTAATTAGGCAATTGGTGGATTATTCCAAAAGCAACATCAACTCTTATTTCTTTAATTATATCATGATTAGTAGTTCTTTGATTTTAAAATATAATATTTGAATATATACTAATTATAATTATTAAATTTAGTATGAAATTGATATTTAATATTGTAATTTAAACGGAGAAATTATAAAAATAATAAAGAAGTTATATTTTGCTTTACTTTTACGTGTATAAAAATTTAAAGGGCTTGATACAATAATTTTCAATAAAAACTGTTTGTTACTATAAAAAAATGCACTGGACTACAAGGAACTTTCATCAGAAGCAAAAATATACTTTTCTAAATCAACTTTTCGCGTTGTTTTCAAATCTGCAAGTAGACTATTTCTATCACTTCTAATTTTTTATATTATTACTAATTATATATATAAAATAATAATTAAAAGAAAAAAAAATTTGTTTTCAAATTATTACTGATTTGATTTTTAATATGTTAAAAATAATCAGTCCAAATTTTCAATTTTAACCTATTTTTTTGGTTCTTTAAAGTTGATGAAAAATTTTTGATAAAGATTTATGAAAGTTTATAGTAAAATAAATTGAATATATTACCATAACTTTTAGCTCAATTACAAGTTTAAAATTGACATCTAGGCCAGTCAACAAAGGAAAAATTGCGGAAAAAATTTTGTTTTTTTAAAAGTTGAATTAAAATATGTATAATGACATACTAATAGTCCTCAAGATTGGAATTGAGCTTTTTTTTTAAATCCTCGCAAAAGTTCAAAAATATGAGCTTTCTTAATTTTCTCAAAAAAAAATATTTAACTTACAAAAAAAAGTTTCGCACAAAAGTTGTTTAAAAGACAATTATAAATAAAAATATAATCTTATATTTTTTCATTTAAACAAATATTTTTCGAGTTACATTACATTTAATATGAGTAATAAAATTTATATTCCATTTTTTTCATTTTACGGTTACTTTTTATCATGTTATACTTACATTAGACACAATGTTATAAATGCATATGTGTGTATGTGTGAGTTTATTTATTTATTGTATCATTAAAGTGTAGTGTATATTGAGATACAACCGATAGAGTAGGTAATTGATTTGACGCTATATTATTTAAACCCAACTAAACGCTAAATTGTACATTCCGAAATAACAATCATATTATGTCAATTGCCACCGGAATATCTGGTAATATTTTTCTTTTTCTTTGCCTTAATCCCAACTACTTGGGGTCGGGCACCCTTATCCTAAGATTCCACTTGACACGATCTCCCACATCTTCTACGCTCACATCAGCTGTCCTCAAATCGCATTCAATAGCATCCCTCCATCTCTTTTTTGGTCTTCCTCTATCTCTTCTTCCTTCAACATTCATTTCTATAACTGTTCTTACAGCTTTCGATTCTTCTTTCCTCATACCATGACTAAACAATCTAAGTCTATTTTCTGTCATCTTATCCACGATTGACGCAACACCTATACTTCCTCTTATATGCTCGTTCCTTATCCTATCTTCTCTAGTCACTCCACTCATCCAACTAAGCATTCTCATCTCTGCTACACTTATTCTCTGCTCTACTTTCTTATCAACCGCCCAACACTATTAACCATACATCATAGCTGGCCTCACAATTTCATACTAAATTTAAAAACTATAATTAGTATTTATTCATATATTATATTTTAAAATCAAAGAACTACTAATCAGGATATAATTAAAGAAATAAGAGTTCATGTTGCTTTTAAAATATTTCACCAATTTCTCTAAAGGAAACACTATCTACAGATTTGCATCGAAGCGTTTCTTATGATAGTGATTTTAATCACTGTCAGATATCATCTATACTTGTCCCATCTATGCCTCGTCCACACTGTGCCTCGACCCCACTGTGCTACCGTTTTTTATAATTAAAAACATAAAAAAATATTTTATTTTCCTAGAGCCTATATAAGTTAACATCTAAATAAGCTATCACTATGGAACTAGTATTGTTTTACTAATATTAAATAGTACTTCAATTTCATTCTTAAGTTTGTGAATTTTGATTTTTTTTTTAATAAAGGAATTGATACAAAAGTCACTATGAGTAATATGATAAAATGTAAACCGTATATATAATAAAGACAACTGTTTCATGAACAGTTTTATACTTTCATTAGTATTAAACAAAAACAATAATTTTAAAAATAGTTGCTTACAATGGTATGTAGTATTTATCATTATTGCAATTCATGTTATTTTGAAACAGATTTTTGTTGTTATAGTAGTGACAATGCCAACAGTATAATAAAACCAAATGAATGATAAATCTTTATTTGAAATTAAAATCTTCAAACAATTGTTAAATACAATCAGTTGATTGGATAAAAAATTTGCACTTATAGTATTCTTTGTAATTTTTTTTTCTATCATATTAATAAATCGATTTTAAAATTTAAATAAGTTTAATTTCTTATGTCTTATGAACTTTATTATATGTCAATTATATTATATAATATTCATGAAAGTCAGTGTATTGCCCTAATAAGATATTTTAAATCCTCCCCANATGAAAGTCAGTGTATTGCCCTAATAAGATATTTTAAATCCTCCCCAATGAGCAGGTTAAGTGTTAGATTTTCAAAAAAATGTTATCAAATGAAAGGGAAATATCTAAGGTTTTAGTATAAAAAAAAAATATGTTGATTTGCTTATTTTTGAAAAAGTTATGGAAGTTTTAAAAAAAAAAAGTGAAAAAAATGACAAAATTTACCGATTTTAAAATTTGTAATTGTTTTGGAGGTTTGTCCCTGTTAAGGGGAACGAGGGAAAATTTTTCAATTTTTAAGGGTAATGTCTTCAACTAGATACGATTTGTGATCTTTTGACGTATTGTTAAAAGAAATCGGTTCTGTGAGAGCTGAGAAAAAGTGGCAACAGACATGAAAAAAAAAACACATCATGGTAAAATTAATACCTTTTCAGCGTATTCATATCAAGTTTAGTAGAAGTTGTAAATGCATTAAAATCGGCCACCATTCTTCAGATTTTTCTTTTAAAATTTTAAATACACTAATACGATAAACTAAAGAATCCAAAAATTTTCTTAGTTTAACAGCAGACTCCTGATGTACCATTCCTAGCTCAAAAATCTCTTTCACATGGATTCTAATTTATAACTTATTATTGTCATATCTCTCACTTAACATTTTCTACGCGTTTTCATAATTATTCGTTGTGTTGTTTCTACATTTTTAATATTATTTATTGCCTCTCCCGATAAAGATGAGCGCAAATAGCAAAATTTCTGAATATCCCATAGATCCGCATTCACATGTATAAGCTTAGAAAATAGATCATAAAAAGGTTTCCATTCACTGTATTTGCCAGTAAATACTAGAATACTTATAGAAGCTAACTTAACGTGAGGAATAAATTTATTTCTCTGACCACCAGAAATTTGCTGACAAATACATTGATTTTCTCTCATTTCTCTATTTTCGATCTTTGACGAACTTACTCTACCAATTAATTTATTTGCTTTGGCTAATGTTCTAAAAAATAATTTTTCGCATTCCTATCTATATATCTCTCGTTCCTCCATGTTAATCTCTTATTCAAGCTCTATAGCTCCTTGATTCACTTCGAACTCTGACCAAGCAGCCTCTTTATTTTCTATCCGAAATGGTATTTGCTCTATTGAGACTTTTCCGCTACTTAAATATTTTTCAAATTTTACTAAAGACGTTTTTAATTGTCCTGCGCAAGATTAATGTTCATTAATATGTCAAAGGTAAGTGAGGATGCGCTGTGAAGTTTAATATTATTAACAGCTGATATTAAGCAATGTAATTCCTACTCTGTTACGACTATTAACTATACTATCCTATACCCACATACGAGGTATTATAATAACCTATTTAAAGTTTAAATAGTACGATCAATATACATAATCAATGTACACAAGAGAAATTACACCTAATATTGTCATGAAGTTAAATAAATTAACTTAAAAGATAAAAAGGTAAATAGTCGTTTGACTTCCTATGAACTAATATAAGGAATTTCCTTTGTCTGGTCATTCCGCTCGTAAAAGTGATTTTGAGAATTTGTAATTTGGCGCCCCCCCTCCCAATTGCGGGGGTATTACTTACGCCAATGTATAGATAAGTTTACATTTTAAACTTATCTATACATGTATACTTTTGTATAATTCAATAAATTAAAATGCATAGGGTAATTGATTTTAATAATATACAGGTGAATCACGAAAATATGATAAATTCATTTACTTTGGATCCAATTAGTATTTTACATTAATTTAATTGTAAGATATTGTTATCCTTTTGACTATACAAATAACACATCGTACCATATTTTTTTTAAATTTATTAGCAATATTTAAAAATTCCAAGATAGCAATTTTGTAGAGTAGATTTTGAGAAAAAAATATTTTTATAAAGTTCAATAGTAAATTATGTGTAAATCATTCAAGCGTAAATAAATTCAATGAATAAAGTTACATACTTATGACATTTAGCATCAAAAAATTCCGATTCCTTTTATAATTTTCTCAGTTCATATGTAATATTTGATTTTGTAAATAACTAAATATTTCAAGTTTTCTCAAACTTTAAAATTCAACAGATAATTTACAACTAAATATTAGTAAGATATTTTTTATCAATTTTTCTTAAAATTTACCAACTAAAATGGCAATTTTGAAATTTTTATTTATATTTTTCGTAAATTTAAAATTAAAAAAATTTTTTTATAAATTTAATAACTGTAATATGTTATGTTGTTTAAATAATCCAAAAGTATAAAAATAATTTAAAAATGAAATTAATATAAAATATTAATTGGATCATATATGTATATGTCAATACATACATTATATTTTTTGGTAATAATATGTAACATAATATTATTGTAAATAATATTTGAAAAATATTTTATTTATTTTTACAAATCATTCAAAAATCATTACAGACATGTAAAATGATAAGACCAATCCATTTTATTTTGACGAATTATCAAAATTGAGATCCAAATTCCTTTGTAATTTTTTCTACAATATCTGAAATATAATAAAATTGTAAAATTATTAACGGTATGGGAGTAGATTTTATTCCTAAAAATATTTAAGTAGAATTAAATAATACAGAAGTTACATAAGCAAATTTGCGACACAAGGTTTAAAGGATTCTCATTGCAAATATTTAAATGATAATACAATGTTTTAGTTATTTTTGATTATTAACACATAACAAGTACTTAATTTGAAATTTTTTTATTCCTAAATTAGGCTTGGTCTTAAAACAATGTAACCGAGCCATAATTGGATTTAATAAGAAAAACATAATTTAACAAAAGGCAAAAAGAATTAAGATGAGTTTCCATTTTTAAAAAAGTGTTTAAGTAATAATAAAATAAATCGAGTTATAATAGACTATAATACCTTAATTAAAGAATAATATTAATAATTATTTTGATTCTTAAAGTTCCATGTTTTACTAAATTTATAAATCATGAAATATTTTTTATGTTCATGCCTATAACCTAAGAGTATAAACTTGAAATTTGACCATTAAAACTATTAAAAATTGTTATTAGTATTTTTATTCTTTTAAATATGTTATAATGATTACCTTGGTAATTGAGTTTATTTTCCTCAGGCTTATACTGGTTTAGAATATTAGTAATTGAATTTTTTAATAATTTTTTTCCAAACAATTTGTTTTTCGACGTAGCTTGTGATGCAGCCATTATAGTAACGATGCCAATATTTGAAGGATCATACATAGAAAGTGCGATTTTTAAAGATGATTCATACTGCACGAATATATTATACACCAATTGGTAAATGAATACCAAATCAAAATAGTTTACTAAAGAAATACCAAAAAAATTTCGTTAATATGAAATATTAATCTTCCTGTCAAATTAATAGTATAGCACAAAGAAATACCGTTTCGTTTTTCAAAAAATCTAAAAATATAGTATAGTGGTCCACAATGTTTTAACAAATCTAATAACTTTAGATCTACTAAATATTTCGGGTTATTTATTAGTTTTATGCAATCATAGAGTCTTTTATATTTATATTGTTTATTATTTACTACTAAAAAATTGCTATGATAAATACAAATTTGTTTTTTTCAAAATGTAAAAATTGTTTTTTTTTATAACTTTTTTCTTTTGCACGAAGTATGCATTTTTAAATTAACCATTTATTTAAGAAAAGAGTAAGTTACATAGTTTTAAAAATGAAATTTTCGAGTATAATATGATTTTATGGTCTGATGTTTCATTTTTATAAATTTTAAAAACAATCCAATCAAACCCCCATTGCATAAAAAAAAAAAATGAACTGATTAAAAAGAAATATGTTGAAAGAAAAGAAAATTTATCAAGTACTTTAGACAAAAATTAAAACATCTATTAAAATGTTTGAATAATAATAAGTAGTTAGAAAATTTTTTTGTTTTTTTAACTTTTTGTACATAAATTTTAATTTAACATATTTTTGAAGCTAAGAGTATTTCAATAGTAAAGTTGAAAAAATTCAATTTTCGTGAAAAAGTTGCTATTTTGAATTCCCCCGTAGGCAGGAAAAGAGTAGCATTAAAAAAAATATTTATATAAAAAATTTAGTTTTGGTTATGTTTTTTTCATAATTTTATAATACCTTTAAGAAAAAAATGTTAAAAAACCCAGCACAGTGGGGTCGGGGCATAGTGGAGACGTTGCATAGTTGGGTCCAGTATAGATTTAATCTGACAGTGATTAAAATCACTATCATAAGAAACGCTTCGATGCAAATCTGTAGATAGTGTTTAATTTTAAAAAATAGATGGATAATTACAAAAGCAACATCAACTTCTATTTCCTTAATTATACCCAGATTAGTAATTCTTTTAATTATATATTATATAATTTTTAAAATAAATTGTTTTCAAATTATTATTGATTTTGATTTTTAATATCTTAAAAGTAATAATTTGGAACCTACTTTTTATTGTCCTTTAAAGTGAAAGTTTTATTTTAAAAAAACGGCAGCACAGTGGGGACGAGGCATAGATGGGACAAGTATAGATGATATCTGACAGTGATTAAAATCACTATCATAAGAAACGTTTCGATGCAAATCTGTAGATAGTGTTTCCTTTAGAGAAATTGGTGGAATATTCTAAGAGCAACATCAACTCTTATTTCTTTACTTATATCCTGATTAGTAGTTCTTTGATTTTAAAATATAATATATGAATAAATACTAATTATAGTTTTTAAATTTAATATGAAATTGTGAGGCCAGCTATGATAAGAGTTTTAAGTATTTAGGGTCAGTTGTGCAAAAGAGTGATGGTATTGACGAGGATGTAAGACACAGGTTTAAGTGCGGGTAGTTGAAGTGTAGAGAAGCGTCTGGTGTTTTATGCGATAAAAGAATTTCAATGAGGCTGAAAGGTAAATTCTATAAGACTGGAATGAGTTCAGCTATGATGTATGATTTAGAGTGTTGGGCAGTTGATAAGAAAGTAGAGAAGAGAATAAGTGTAATACAGATGAGAATGCTCTTCTGAGTGGAGTGAATAGAGAAGATAGGATAAGGAACGAGCATATAAGAGGAAGTATAGGTGTAGCGTCAATATCGTTGGATAAGATGAGGGAAAATAGACTTAGATGGTTTGGTCATGTTATGAGGAGAGAAGAATCGGAAGCTGTAAGAGCAGTTGTAGAAATGAATGTTGATGGAAGAAGAGATAGTGGAAGACCAAAAAAGAGATGGAGGGAAGCTATTGAATGCGATTTGAGGACAGCTGATGTGAGCGTAGAAGATGTGGGAGATCGTGTCAAGTGGAATCTTAGGATAAGGGTGGCCGACCCCAAATAGTTGGGATTAAGACAAAGAAAAAGATTACCAGAAATTCCGATGGCAATTGACATAATATGATTGTTGATTGGGAATGTACAATTTAGCGTTTAGTTGGGTTTAAACAATATAGCATCAAATCAATTACCCACTCTATCGGTTGTATCTTAATATACACTACACTTAAATGATACTACAAATAAATAAACTCACACATACACACGTATGTATTTATAAAATTGTGTCTAATGTATAACATGATAAAAAGCAACCGTAATATGAAAAAAATGGAATATAAATTTTATTACTCACATTAAATGTAATGTAACTCGAAAAATATTTGTTTAAATAATAAATATAGTTTAAAAAAACTAAAAAACACGCTTTTAAAGCACATCGAACTAAAAAGTTAAAAATAATTTTTAAAATTAACTTAAAACAATAATGAACGAAAAATACTAGTATTATTGTGAAAAAAAGGGTCGGGCGCTCAATATACAAAAAATAAGGCACAAAGGACCCACGCTTTTTTTCACAATAATACTAGTATTTTTCGTTCATTATTGTTTTAAGTTAATTTTAAAAATTATTTTTAACTTTTTAGTTCGATGTGCTTTAAAAGCGTGTTTTTTAGTTTTTTTAAACTATATTTATTTTTCACTTTTTAGTTTCATGTTATGATAATAGTTAATATCAATATCATGGTTGTAACGGGTAACGGGATATCAGGGTTCGATTCCCGAGAGGGAGTCTAAGAAATGGCTACCACATCCAAGGAAAACAGCAGGCGCGCCACGTGGAGGTAGTGACGAAAAATGACAATACGGGAATCAACCTCCGTAATCGGAATGAATACACTACTTATCTAATAATGAGAATAAAGCGTATTAATATATAAGTTTTAATAGTAATTAGAATATATATATATATATACAGGGTGATTTTTTTATCATAACCCACTCAATTACTTACAGAATAATAATAATTAAAAATTTTTTTTTTATTATTATCTTTAGTTACACATTATTCTTGAATTATTAACTATGTAATACTTTTTAAGTTCATCCCTTATGCCTGGTAAGGGTGTCAACTTTGTTTTTTTAAATGGTAACACATATTTTGAATTTAATAAAATGTTTGAGTTTTTAATTTAATAACAAATGTCATTTGAATTTTTAATATAACTTTATTCGTTTATTAGATATAAACATTTAAAGTTTCAATTTTTTGAGTTAATATATAGGTATAATACACAAGGGATTACAAATACAGGTAGCTAATTGATTTTTTATGATATTGCTATCACAGTCACGGATTGTTTATTATCAATTATGACTATCAATAGATATACATTCTGTATTGTCAGTTAGTGTATTTATAAACTCACAACAATGTGTCTTACTACCATTGATAATAACAATGCTTTGTACCTGCTAATATCGATGTCATAAAAAACCAATTAGCTACCTGTAATTTTAATCCCTAGTGTATTATACCTGTATATTAACTCAAAAAATTGAAACTTTAAATGTTTATATCTAATAAACGAATAAAGTTATATTAAAAATTCAAATGACATTTGTTATTAAATTAAAAACTCAAACATTTTATAAAATTCAAAATATGTGTTACCATTTAAAAAAACAAAGTTGACACCCTTACCAGGCATAAGGGATGAACTTAAAAAGTATTACATAGTTAATAATTCAAGAATAATGTGTAACTAAAGATAGTAATAAAAAAAAAATTTTTAATTATTATTATTCTGTAAGTAATTGAGTGGGTTATGATAAAAAAATCACCCTGTATATATACATGTAAAGCGACTTAAGTACGTAAACGTATCACGCACGAGGTATAGCCGTGTTTTATGGGCGGGGGAATAATATACACGAGGCATATACGGCGGCAGCGGCGTCGGCTGTAGGAATAAATAAATGAATATTAACATATGAATATATATATTAATATTACCGGTGGCGGTGGGAATATATGATCATCGCATAATATCGCGACACTTTCGCTTGCGTCGACGACGCGATGTCTGGCGTGATCCTTGGGCGTCAAAAGGTTAGCAGCGTAGACGACGACGGTGCGCGAGTGCGGATCGGTTTGTTGACGTAGTCACTTTGATAACGGGAAGAAGACTACAGTATCATTAGCGGCGGGACGTCGTGTGGCACTTGCTGGACTTTGCAGCGCGGTGTTAGTCAAATACTCATAAAATAGGACGACGGCTGATAAAGGTGGCACGAGTCGTGGGGCATCGTGTATAACGAAACGACGCATATACGGGTACGAAAACCAAAAATAAAAAAAAATTATACAGGAAAATATTGTTGTCGGCCAGTGGTGAGCGGGATGGGGTGTATGCGTTACGACAGTCTAGTCTCAAGGTCATAGTCGACGGGATACGCGACATAATAACACGTGCCGCGTGGAGTTACAAACTTACAACAAACAAACAACATACAAGTGAAACTAATATTAGCGTGTTAAAAATATAAGATAATTTTTTTGTTTATAATTGTCTTTTAAACAACTTTTGTAGGTAACTTTTTTTTGTAAGTTAAATATTTTTTGAGAAAATTAAAAAAGTTCATATTTTTGAACTTTTGCGAAGCTGTAAAAAAAAAGCTCAATTCCAATCAATGAGGACTATAAGTATGTCATTATACATATTTTAATTCAACTTTTAAAAAAACAAAATTTGGTTGGGAATTTTTTCCGCATTTTTCCTTTGTTGACTGGCCTAGATGTCAATTTTAAACTTGTAATTGAGTTAAAAGTTATGGTAATATATTCAATTTTTTTTACTTTAAACTTTCATAAATTTTTATCAAAAATTTTTCATCAACTTTAAAGAACCAAAAAAATAGGTTAAAATTGAAAATTTGGACTGATTATTTTTAACATATTAAAAATCAAATCAGTAATAATTTGAAAACAAAATTTTTTTTTCTTTTAATTATTATTTTATATATAATTAGTAATAATATCAAAAATTAGAAGTGA